TTTGGCAACAACCACAGGGTAACGTCATTGATCTGACTTCTGATTCATTTCATTGATCATCGGTCCTGGCACAGGTGTTGCTCACAGTCCTGCAGGCAGTGCGAACAGTGCAGCCCAGATGACGAACGCTGGGCTGACCTGCAACGCCTGAAGGCTGCACATTTTTACCTTTGTCTCAACAGGACCAAGTAAGGTTATCAGCTTCGGAGGTGGAACCGGGAGGGGGTTTCACAGTCAGATTTGCTGTGGGAGGAAAAACAAAAATGAGTGGCCTAGTTGCAAACCCTACTTTGGAGGTGAGTCCGAATCCTGGAGAGAAAAAACAAGAGAAGCCCATCAAGTCCTGGCCCAGCTGCTGTCTGCTGACAGGGTGGGGCCTCAGCTGGGAGAAGAGCCACATAACCTTCAAACCTGACCTTTCCACCCTGGAGGTCAGTCACATTGGTCAGAGCTGAGACGTCAGTTTCCCAGGCATTTGGCCTGGACTGGTCAGGGCAGGAGCAGGCCTGCAGGCTCACTGGGGTTGTAACTGGGAATCAGAGAGAAGCTGGGAGTCCCCTGGCTGGGAGGACATCAACTATGAGTTAAGGGAGAGCCGGACACTGTGTGGAGGGAGGTCAGTGATTGGATGGCGGGGTGAATCGAGGTCAGAGTCTGGCTTTCCAAGAACAAGGCGACCCGGAGACATCTGTTTTCATTCACGGCCTGGAGCAGAGCTGGGCTGCGGTTCTTAAGGCTGATTGTGCAACGGGAGGGCCTTTCCCACCAGCCTTCCCTGCTTCTCCAGAGGACACAGGGAGGAGAGAACTGCAGAGAACGGCACCTCCCATGTGCCCAGAAGGCTTATCTGTCCATTTAGTCAATACCTCCTGCCCAGCTTATTGGCTCAGAGAGTGCAAAGGCTTGCCTGAAGTCACACAGCAGTACTGGACCCAGAGCTGTCTTCTCCCACAGGCACAGCAGACACAGTGCCCAGGGCCCACAAGACTTGTAGGGACTCCGGAAAGTGTTTTTATTTCTCTTAAAATAAGAAGAAAAAACATAATTCAGCTTGTTTTATCACCAGAAAGGAGGCTTGGCCCTCAGCGGGTCTGCCTAGGGCCTGTGGTGGTGTGTGGGGTCTTACCTTCATGCAGGAAAAATTTCACAATGCACGTCCAGGTGATTTGAGAGTACGATTATTAGAGCGTAACAAGGAAGTGGACAGTGGAACAAGGAAGGGCTTAGGATAGAACAGTGGTTGGCAAACTGCGGCTCGCGAGCCACATGTGGCTCCGCGAGCCGCAGTTTGCCGACCACTGGGAAGCAACAGGAGAGAGCCTGGGCAGGGCTGCTTGGGCTCACTGAGAAAGAAAAGTACAGTAACAGAAGTGAGCCAAGGAGGAGGAAAGTCAGAGAAAAGGGGGCCTTGGAGACAGGGTCAGGGGTGAGCCTGCTCGCCTGCCTGTGGGGGCAGAAGAGGGGGCGGGAAAGGCTCAGGCTTCTCCCTGGAGGGAGATGGAGCACAGGTCTTTTGTTTCCTTTTGGTGAGGGGTTTTAAAGGCTGGGAACTTGGGGGAAATTTCAATAGAATATTCCCCAGGTGTCCCGGGCGTGTCCTTTCAGGGTCCTGGGCTCCACTGACTGTCAGTGCCAGGGCAGGGGGTCATGCTAGTAAGTTGCCATTTGGTTTTGCTGCTTTTCTGAGCCTGGAGCTGAAATACAACTGAGGCCTCGATGACATGTCTGGGGAGGAAAGGTTAGGAGGTCCAAGCCTCTTGAGCAGCGATATGCCAAGGGGGGAAAGGCCACCCTGCAGGGCAGGTCCAGCACTAGTTTTGCCCATTGCTAGGCACCGGGGCTTCCCGCCCTGCAGACCCTCTGTATGTGGCTGTAAATTGTTCAGCCGTCTATCTCAGTTTCCTCATTCCACTTGCCGAGGAATTTTCCTGGCTTCTTACTATTCTACCTCAGTCCTACTTTTTTGTGCCGAGGAATTTTCCTGGCTTCTTACTATTCTGCCTCAGTCTTACTTTTTTAAGAATTGATTTCAGAGAGGAAGGGAGAGGGAGAGAGAAAAACAACAATGATAAGAAAGAATCGTTGATTGGCTGCCTCCTGCAAGCCCCCTATTAGGAATCGATCCCACAACCAGGGCATTTGCCCTGACCAGGAATCGAACTGTGACCTCCTGGTTCAGTAGTAGACGCTCAACCACTGAACCACACCGACCAGGCGTAATTTTGTCTTTAATCAATGAATTATAATCGATCATTTAAAAATATTGTGTAATATTTTGTAATGGAGGAAGGAGTCCAGGTCGGCAAAGTGCCGAGGGCCTGTAAAAAGAAGTGGCTCAGTTTGGATGGTGGTGCTACCGAGCCACTGGAGTAAGACCCATATCTAGGGTTAGCGGGCCTGCCTCCCTCACACTCCCCCACAGCGGGTGTTCCACCCTGGTCTGTCGGAATCTAAAACCCATTCTCTTTTCAGCCTGGTCCTTCAGTTCTCAGGTCTGCACCTCCCCAGGGAGACCTCTGTTGGCCCTCCTGACTAGATCCACTCCCCCCTTATATGTCCTTGTTGGAACTCAGCTGCCCTGAGGACTTACGGTGTGATGACTTTGAGCACAGGTTCTGAAAGCGGAGGTCTGGGTTTGAATCCCAGCTGTGCCAATTATCAGCTATGCAGTTGGGCAGGTGTTCATCTCTCTGACCCTCAGTTTCCCTGTCTGTGAAATAGGGTAATAAGAGTATCTACCTAACAGAGTTGTGATAGGTTAGATAAATGAATATTTTTCAAGCACTCAAAACTGTGCCTGGCACCAAAAAAGTGTCATCTAAATATTTTTTTAACACGTTTGAAGCCCCATCAGTGCAGAGGCTGGGTTTTGCTCTCTCTGGTATCTCCAGGCCTTCCTTGCACATAGTAGGCATTCGAATGTTGGAATGAATGAATACATGAGTGTACTCTGGTCCTCCTTCTTTTGTCTGTATGTTTCTTTCTGCTGGAAGTCATTCACACCTTAGTGTGAAGTGTGAATCAATGCCACCCTGCCCCTTTCCTAGAGCACCATGGGAGAAAATGACTCGCCTTCCTGGGGAAGGAGCATAAAGCCTTAGCAATCAGGTGGGGAGTTTTATCAGGAGTGGAGGGGCAGGCTTTATTCTCAGGACCTGTAACTGAGCCTGTCCTCTGCTCAGTGGAGTGAAGCCCTAAGCATTGTGCCCATTGTTTTTCAAGGAGACATTTCCTCCCATTTCAGAGGGCTGGATGCCTTGGGCAGGCAGCAGCGGTCAGACCCCAGCAGGCAGGCCTCACCAGCAGGCCCCCAGGGCAGGGGAGATGAAAGGCCTCGCCAGCCCCAGGCTTCCCCAGAGGAAACCTCGCCCACAGCAGGTCTGCAGGAAGCCACAGTCACAGGAGGACAGCCCACTGAGCTTGGGATCAAGCCCAGGTCACCAGAGCTCAGATAAAAGGGACCTCTGCTACTGGGAACATGTGATTCTGAGGCCTGGCAGGGACCTGGAAGGAGCGGCTGGCCCTGAAGTTTGGCCCTGAAATCGTGCTGGGCCCCAGGCCGGGGCTGCCCACCAGGCCCCTGCTGGGAACCCAGGCTGGCTGTCTGACCCGATCCCACTGGTCCCTAATCAGAGGGAAGTGGCTGCGTTCCCTGGTAAATTGGTGAATTTGTTCCGGGGAGTCCTGGGGTGTTAATGTCTCCTCTCAGAGCTTTTTCATTTTCCACATAAAACCTGTAGTGCTGCCGTGTTCCTGGAGAAGTCACCCTTGCTGTCCTCAGAACTTGGAAGGCTCATTTTTATAAGTTAATGTTTGCAAGAAATTAACTGATGGGTCACTGCTTGGCGCCTGGGTCCGTGTGGCCCAAATACTGCTGCAGAACTGACATCTCAATTGAAGAACATTTATTGGGCACCTACTGTATTCCATACCCTGTGCCATGCACTGAGGAAAGCCAGTGCATCTAGTCAGTGATTACTGAGTGCTGATGCGGGCCAGGCCCTGTGGAAGGTGCAGAGGTGCAGACGATAAGGCACAGATACTTGACCTTGTAGAGCCAACCCCCCACTCCGGGGTGCATGAGCTTCCTACTGCCTCTGTCACACATGACCGCACACTAGTGCCCAGTGACAGAACTGAGAGGCAGCGGCCGAAGAGGAGGTCCCAGCATCACAGACAGAAGCTGAGCGGGGACCGGGCCCAGGTGCATCTAAGTCTGGAGCTTGGGTCCCTTCCACTTCCCCGGGTGGTGTGTCGTGGTGGTCAGACGGGGCTGGGGGTGAGCCCCAGCTCTGCTATCTGCCTGACCTCGGGCAAGTATTAGACCGCTGCCTCCCATCTGTGACTCGGGCATCAGAACAGTACCTGTCTTGGGGTTGCTGTGAACGGGATGGAATGCAAGGCTTGTGAAATATTGATCCCTGTATAGAACACACACGTGCTGACATGACGGCACCCTGGGGATGTATGTGGAACGCTTCACACGCAGTCTCACTGAATTCTCTCAAGAAACACACGGTCACTGTTCACATGCCCACATCAGAGAGGAGGACACCCGGGTTCAAGGGCATGGGTCATCAGCCAGCCCCCATTCAGCAGTGTCTTCCAAAGAAGCTTCTCTGGGCAGACAGAGTTTGTCAGCCCAGCTCAACGTTTGGATGAGGTAGCAGCTGGAATCCCCACCCGTCCTACGGGGCTGCTTTCTCTGTGTGCCCGCCCCCACCCGCCCCAGCCCTCTGGCCTCTGAGCCAGCATACCACCTCTGGGAGAGACCGCCCCAGACGGCAAGGAAGTGCTCATATTCCAGAGTGACAGCGCCACTCCCAGCCACGTCTCCAAGCCAGTCAGTGGGGGGAGTCAGGGCGGGGGGAGTGTGCCTCCTCCTGCTGCTGGCTAGCTGACCACTGCCATCTAAACTGCCTGGTTGGAGTCTCTGGGGCCAGATGTTATAGGGCAAGCTAAAAATAACCAGGCGGCAGGCCACCCCTGGGGGGTGGGGCTGGGGGTGGAGGCATGTGCTGGGCGTGGACAAATGATCGGAGGGGGAGCTAAGAGAGTCTGGCAGACCATGCACACTTCTGCTCCCCATTCAAAGGACCCACCTGGCAAGGGGGCCCTCCTCTCTGAACATCTGGGAAGAAACCCCTCCACCAGCTGCAGGATGGGCCGCAGCAGAAGGAAGGTCATCTGGGTCCTGTGCTCGTTGCTGCTGCTCCTTGAAGCCAGTTCTGCCAAGAACATTTGGAAACGGGCACTGCATGCGAGGCTGGCTGAGAAACCCCACGTAAGTGCCTGGATGGGGAGACCGGGAGGGGATGGGCCATCCCCAGACGCTGTTGGTTCTGTAAGCGCTCCCCCAAACACAGACAGGGCAGGTGTCTTTCTTCATCAAAGTCGGGCGCTGGGCAGATGGAACTCACGTCTTCAAAAGGCTCCTTGCCTGGCAGCAAAGACGCAAAGAGAACATCAAAAGTGAGCCAGGGGCCTGTGATGTGCTTTTGCCTAAGGAGTATACTTTCTCCTGACAAGCAGCCCCGGGGTCCAAGGGCTTAAAGCTGAGCGCTGTCTCTCGGCAAGCAATACCCAAAGCTGTATGCAATGTACGCATGCGTTCATGCAGGTATTCACTCATTCAGTAAACGTTTGCTGGAAACGGCTCTGGGCCAGGCACTGTGGGGGTCCAGTGGGTACAAGATGGCAATACCAGCTCCCACCCTTCAGGGCAGCATAGGCAGTCAGGTGACAGGTGATGGCAGGACAAAGGGGTGGCATGACATAACAAGTGACAAGAAGCATGTGCCCTGGAGCCAGGTGTCTGGGTTTGAACTCGGGCTCTGCTGTGCACCAGCTGTGTGACGTCAGGCAGATTGTTTGGCCTCTCTGAGCACCAGTGATCTCATCTGCTCATTTGAAGAAGACAGAATGATACGTTTCTTTCAACAAACCTGTTTGCTCACCACTGTTTACCAGGCACTGTCCTTGGCTGTGGGGAAACAGACATCAGATCCCCGTCTTCAGGAATCCACGTTACAGTACGAGAGGCAGAAATGAGTGAGAAATAAAAGGAAAACATACTGAGTTTGGTGACAAGTGCTGAGGAGAAATATAAAGCAGGAAGGAGAGGGGGGGGGAGGGGGGAGGAAGGTGCAGTTTTAGATCCTCCCCACCTCGAAGCACAGAAGCATAGAAGCGTCAAGGAGATAACACCAGCACCCAGCATATGTGTGAGCATCAAATGACTCAATATGCATAAAGTGCTTACATAGCACATAGCGAGTGGTCAGTGCGTGTGGGTGACATTTAATTAAATAATGGTGAAATCAGTTGATGCTTGCCTCCCCAGGTGGAATATAGGTTCGTCAGGGTACAGTCTAATCTTGTCTCATTTAGTATAGTTCCTGATGCCTTGCCAGGTGGCTGTCATTAAGTTGGTGCCCAATACATTCTTGTGGGAAATTATGGGCAAATACAATGGAAGCACAGGAGAACTTATGCAACTCTGCCTCAGGAGAGTCAGGGAGAATTTTCCAGGGTTGAGGGCATTCAATCTGGGGCTTTGAAGGATGAATAGGAGTTTTCCAGGTAGAGACATGGGAGAAAGGCTGTTTAATGAACCTAGGTACTATGGGGTGTACTAAACTATATTGAGGCTAATCTCAGCCTCCAGGGCTTACATTCTATAGGCCATGCAGGAGGTCACTGGGAGTGGAAAAAAAGTAGTAGTGGCTGAAATGATGGTAGGTGTTTGGAAGAAGAAAAGCTCATGTGAGATGGTATAGTCACAGAAGGCTTCCTGGAGGAGGTGAGACCCTGGCCAGATCTTGAAGCATTATTAAGAATTTGGAGAGCTTGGCTGGTGTGGCTCAGCGGTTGAGCATCGACCTATGAACCAGGAGGTCATGATTCGATTCCTGGTCAGGGCACGTGCCCAAGTTGCGAGCTCAATTCCCAATATGGAGCATGCAGGAGGCAGCCAATCAGTGATTCTCTCTCATCATTGATGTTTCTATCTCTCCCTTTCTCCCTTTCTCTCTGAAATCAATAAAAATATATTTAAAAAAAAAGAATTTGGAGAAAGGAAAAACAATAAAGTTGAGAAAGGCCATTCCTGGAAGAAGAATCAATGTGGGCTGAGGGTTGGGGGCAGAACTGATGTCTCAGAGCCCCGAGGGGGAGTTCTTCCTATGGGAGAGGGCTGTGTGTGGAAGGAGGGAGAGGGACCCTCGGGTTTTACTGCTCCACGCTTTTTGCTGGCCTAAAGGATGATTGCATCCTCCTAGGTGTTAGCACTTGGTACCACAGAGAGATTTCTGATGCTTCCCCTGGTCTTATCTCCACCTAGTTGTGGGGTGTCCTAGGAGCAGACATCTCATGGGGAGGAATGGCAAGTCTGGGGGTGTTGAGGATGATGTACTCAGGGGATGGGGTAGTCTCTTTAAAAACACAGGCCTGGCTCTGGCCCGATGGTTCAGTTGGCTGGAGCATCATCCTGTACACCAAAAGGTTGCGGGTTCGATTCCCAATCAGGGCACCTAGGCTGCGGGTTTGATCCCTGGTTGGGGTGTATACGAGAGGCAACCAATTAATGTTTCTCTCTTACATCGTTTCTCTCTCTCTCTCTCTCTCTCTCTCTCTCTTTCCCCTCGCTTTCTCTCTCTCTAAAAATCAATTTTAAAAACCCACACACAGGCCTTGGTGGGCCTCAGAAACTAAGTCAGTTGCTTCTAGTCATCACTTGTCAGGAGCAAGCACTGAAGTGTGCCCCTCGATGCGCTGGAAGGCGCCTTGGTGAGCACTAGCACCAGCAGCTTCCCCGTGCCCAGTGCTGAGGCAGGAGAGGTTCATACCAGAACTGCCTCAGAGCAAGCCCCTGGGGAACGACAGCCTGTTGGCTTGTGGCTCAGAGGATAGAGAGGCTGGAAAGGGTCCAGGCCCAGGAATTCAGCTCAGCGGCATCTCTAACAAGCTGTGCAGCCTTGGGCTACTCACTGCCCCTCTCTGAGCCTCAGGCCGGTGCCTGGGAAACAAGGCAGAGGACCAGATGGCTTCCAGGCCCCTTTTCATTCTGATTCTAACTCCCATGCAAATGTTCAATAGGGAACTTAAAGGTCCTAGGAAGCAGACCCCACACTCAGAGACAGGACTTTCCCTGTGGCCCCCGCTGCTCCCACCCCAAGCTTAGTCAGACCTTCAGCCCTGAGGGCAAGTCAAGGTGGGGCGAGGCCAGGGTCCAGCAGCACGCTGAAGCCAGGTTGGACCCACTTGGAGAGTTAAACAGAGCCCTTACGAAAGAGTAAATCATGTGATTTAAATTGTAAAAAGGAAGGAAGCCCTCATTAGAAATGGATCACTTCCTACGTATTCCACTACCTCTCACTGCTCCCTCTGCTCTCAAGATTGCTTATGTCGATGGTATCCGTATGGGGGAAACAGTAGATATTGAGGAACTATTGCTTCTCCTCATTCAGAACCCTCCGTAGGTGGCTAGAAGGATGCCTCGCTGGGAGTCTCAGCCCATGGACACCGGCAAAGGCTGCACCTGAGAGCTGGTTGTTGACGCTGACCCACCGTTGGCCGTCTGCCCCCTGCCGCAGGCACCCTCTCTCACCTTCTCAAAGCCCTGTCCCTTGGCAGAGTGGGCAACGGGCCCGAGGAATTTCCTGGACACTGTGTACGTTACAGCTCGGGGCTCAGCGCCAGAAGGGACGGCATGCCTCCTATTCCCACAGGACCCCTACGGAGGCCTGTAAGGAGGAGGCTTCTCCCCCCTGGGCCTCAGTTTCCTCCTCTGCAGCACTGGAGCGCCTGCTGTGCAGTCCAATGAGAAGATGACAGAGAGCCTTGAGCTCCATGCCTGGCAAAGAGCCACCCTCTCCACATCTGCACGATTCAAAACAAAACAAAACAAAACAAAACAAAACAAAACAAAACAAAACAAAACGCAGAACCAAATGTTTATGAGGCTAGATAAGACAGAGTGGAATGTTTGTAAGTAGCCTAGTGGCCTTTTCCGGGAGCTCAGGGTCAGTCGTGGGGAGCTGGTGTTTGGGGCTTCTTTCCTGGCATTTAATGAACCTCGTAAGAACAGTTCTTTCCTGACCATTTCCTGTGCGTCAGGCCAAGCACTGGCCATGCATTAACTTGCAGGATTCTCTCCATGCATCTACCAGGTGGGGCCCGTTGCCCCTGTCAGCCCGCGGACCGGCTGGCCCGCTGATCCCAGCATGTGGCTGTGCTGTGGGCCTGTTTTGTTCCTAAGCTCCCATCTAGGGCAGCGGCAAGTAGCTGTGCAGTCTGCACCCTGCCCAGTGAGGGGATCGTGAGGGGCTGCAGCAACCAAAAGCAAGGGGGACCCCTTTGTCATGCATCCTGCTCCCAGGGCGCCCTTTGCGCTTGTCCACCAGGAGCTGCAAAGCGGTTTAGGGTGGGTGGTCACGTCCTAGGCGGGCGTCTTCCCTGACCTGGGCCTGTCTATTGCCCTTTTGCATCCACAATAACAGCCTTTGGTGACGAGCACAAAAGCCCTGCAGGACCTGGCAGCCCGCACGTGTCCCTCAGGCTCCCCAAGCTGGTCCTTCTCTCCCTTGTGGCTCGGTTTAGTTTTCATGCACCGCTTTGGCAGATGACCAAGAAAAGCAATTAGTTTGCTTCATCTCTGGTGTTTTGCTTGGTGTTTGACACTTGTCCTGGAGCCGAGGCACATGAAGGCAAGAACAGCATCATCGGGTTCAGCTCAGCTCTCCCTGTTCCCAGCCCCGTGCCTGGCACGTCGTTGGCCTGGGAACTATGACGTTACCATTAAAGGAATGAATAAATTACGTGAAATCCTTCCAGAACAGGATAGAAGGGATGGAAAGTTCTAAAAGACATCCAGGTGCATGCACAGCAGGGCTCAGCGGACACCAAAGGGATTGGTCGAGTGTGCAGCCTTGCTCGCAGCTGCATGAGCTGGGCTTGTCCCCGGCGTGAAGCCCTAGTTTTGGGGCACCCCTTCCAGGAAGTCCCTGTAGCCGTGCACCAAACCCTGCTCTCAGAGCCCAGGGCATCCGGAAATGGCATTCGCCAGTGCACACGAAACCCTATGTCCTCTGTTCTAGGGAGAGACATATTTTTAGATCTTTGACGTCCAAATTCCTAAGGAAGAGTGAATAATGCTTAGAGGAACATTGGCTTTCTTCCTGTACCACACAAACGAGTCCTGGGGTGCACTTTTATTGGCCCGGACCGTTAAGTTGCCGGAACATTCCAAAGAAAGGGAAAGCTCTTGCGAATGGAATGGATGGG